ATGGCGCCTGCCTGCCGGCTGTGTGCGGGGAGGACTCGCCACAGGAGCCATGGCCTCCGCCAGCCCTTCTGCCTGGAGGAAGTCGCCCTCCAGCTCTCCCCCGGATCTCAGGCAGGTTAGTTCCTCCCCGAGTGTCCCGGGTCCTTTCAGGCTGCTGCCCGGCGCTGGGCTCAGAGGGAGCGTCCGAGTGAGTCCGTGCCGGGCCCTTTGAGAGGAGCTGCTGGGGCTCCCGCAGCCTCCGCGACCCTCAGGGACAGTCCCCGCTGGCTTCACAGCCCAGAGTTGAGAGGATTTCTAAGCATTTTATTGTTTTTGATGCTATTATAAATGGGATTGCTTTCTTAATTTTAATTTTGATGGTTCATCGTAATTTGTGTTTTAAAGTACGAGCGAGGCATCACTTACGGCGACATACTGGCGGAGGCCGGACGGGGATCAGGGGGTAGCTGTACACATAGCTGCGAGAAGTGTATCAGTTCCAAGGCTGTCAGGACAGAGGCTGTCACCTGGAGCGAGCCGAGGTCCAGTGTCGCATAAGCAGAGGGAAGGGTAGAAGGGGCAGCGGAAGATGAAGGTGGGGACGTGAAAGGTTTAATGATGGGTCGGCCCCCAGTATTAGGTGGAGAGTAGGGTCCTGTCATGAGGGACCTAACTGACCCTTGGGAGGACATCAGCTTTATGACTAGAGGAGTGATTGTGATCAATCCTATGTTTTAAGCGCATCATTCTGGATACCATGTCAAAAGTAGATCATAACCTGGCCGGGTGTGGCTCAGCGGTTGAGTGTCGACCTAGGATCCAGGAGACCGTGGTTCGATTCCCAGTCAGGGCACAGGCCCGGGTTGCAGCCTTGATCCCCGTCGAGGGCGTGCAGGAGGCAATGACAACTATCTCATCATTGATGTTTCAACTCTCTCTCCTCCCTTCCTCTGAAATCAATAAAAATATATTTTAAAAAAGTAGATTGTAAGTTGTTGGAGGAGAAGCAGGTGGGAGTAGGCAGAGGCAGGAGATAATTAGAAGTATTGCAGTAATCCAGGCTAGCCCTGATGGAGTTTGATCAAGGATATTAGTGCGGGAGGTAGTTAGAAGTGATCATGATTAGGTAAAGAAGATGCCGTAACGTATACCATGGAATACTACTCAGACATAAGGAAAGATGAAATACTGCCATTTGTGACAACATGGATGGATTTTCAGAATATCATGCTAAGTGAAATAAGTCAGAGAGTAAAAACCAAGAACCAGATGATTTCACTCGTATGTGGGATATAAAACTGAAAGCAACAAATGGATAAACAAGAAAAACAAACAAACAAAAACTCATAGACCACAGTATGGTGGTTATCAGAGGGAAGGAGGTGGGGGGTAGTGAAGGGTAAGGGGGTTAAAAATATATGATGACAAATTTTACTTTTGGTGGCAGGCACACAATGCAACACATAGATGATGTATCATAGAATTACACAGTTGAAACATATCACTTTATTAACCAGTGCCACCCCAATAAATTTAATTTAAAAAGAAATGATCAGATTATAAAATACAGTTTGAAGATACTAAGGGCAGAATTTGCTTATGCAGTTTTTGTGAGGTACAGAGAAGCCTTGAATGATTCCAAAAGTGTTGGGCTTCAAAGTAATTAGTTGATTAAGCAAATCTAACTACTACTATTTATTTTAAAAGTTTTCTGTGTGAGAGAAGTTTTGAATGATACTAAGGGTTTCCAATATGCTTTCAGTGGAACATTTATGAAAAACAACATTTAAACATTTCTATTAATTTTTTTATTTGCTTTTTCAATAGTTCTTGCCAGTAGCCTCAGTCCATATCGTGAAGGAAGATTTATAGAGAGGCGACTGCGGTCCTCATCAGAAGGAACTGCAGGGAGTAGCAGAATGATTTTGAAACCAAAAGATGGAAACGTAGAAGAAGTTAATAGTCTGAGAAAGCAAAGAGCAGGTTCGTCGTCTTCAAAAATGAACAGCATGGTGAGTAAATATGTATGCCTGCCAATGATAAAATAATAATCTGTATCTGGCATGTTCTTGCATGCCAAATGAAAACAGACTGAAGAATAGACTCTCCATATTTGAAGAGAAAATTGTTCTCCATAGTTGATGTCACAGGTAAGAATGCTAAATTTTCACTTGAGACTCTCATGACAGATAGGAGCACAACATGACAGCTGCCCTTAATTCCTGTCTACCTTGCGTCTATGGAAAGTTGGGAGTTCTCCATTCTAGAACAAAACCCTGGATACACAAGCTAAGAAAAATGCTGATTATGAGGATATACTCCGATACCATCATTTCCCACCATCTCTTCACCCTATAGCCATTATAAAATACATCCTTTCATAAACCACCCTTACGCCACTACCACCCTCAGACCTTCAGTGGACCCCACTCTGCCTGTCCTTTTACAATTGCTCCTCAACGCAAAGTGAGGAGCCCGAGGGTCAAGACAGAATCCACAGCTCTCACACATTCTGGATAACAGTGATTCCAGATTCCTGGTCCAAACTGTGGGAGCCTGCTGATGAGGGTGGAGGCGGGTGTGTAGGGGAGGCGGGTCTGGGCTTGCATTTGTGGACGCGGTGTCTTAGTGCCATGTGCACGAAGCTTCCTCTTAATGGGAGATGGACCAGGAGTGGGGAGAGGTGACCAGTGGACTGCAGCCCAAGGGGTCAGGAGGCCTCATCTCACAAATGCTGGGGTGGGCTTGCCTTTGGAGTTCACTTTATTCACTTTCTCACAAATGTGTTCTTTTTTCACTAGTGTCTTTGATCCCTAATATTGAACAGTGTTTCTTTCAAATGATCTACCTACCTACTTACCTATCTATTCATGCACATATGGGGAAAATGCACAAAACTATATGATTTATGACATCTCTATGTATGATAGATAATTGTTTCAAATGAAAATGTTAGTTTATGTAGTTCAGACAGTCATGTTGTGAAGAAGCCTTAAAGTTCCTGAGCACACTATTGAGTGATAGCAAAACCACTGTACTTAAAGTTGGAAGTTTTAGCCATCAGGTCAGGTTTGGCCAGATTTTAATCTTGAGCAAATCATTAACTACAAAACAGCAAATGATAATGGGTTCCCTTTTTCTAATATACTAAAAAAAAATGATTGTGTGTATTTACATGTGTATATATAGAAATACATTATATTTCATCTTTCTATTCTTTTGTGCTTTGAAAATGTTATTAATTTGGCAATTGATGTTTTTTGTCTAAGTTTAAGGATATGTTAAGAAAGATTTCTGTCCAGCTGGTGTTGCTCAGTGGTTGAGCATCTACCCATGCACCAGGAGGTCACTGGTTCTGGTCAGGGCACATGCCCCGGTTTTGGTCTTGATCCCCAGTAGGGGGCATGCATGAGCCAGCCGATCCATGTTGATTCCCAGCAATGTTTCTATCTCTCTCTCCATTCCTCTCTCTCTAAAATCCATAAAAACATATTAAAAAAAAAGATTTCCAATTGATGCAATATTAAAAGTTATGGCTAATGAATTATTACGAAACATTTATTTTCACAAAATTTCCATTGTTCCTTCATAGAGTGGCATTTATTTTAAGAATCGGACACTGTTTATTACACCTGCCCAAAGTTGGGCCTTTTATGTATTCTTTATATCTCATTTTTAATATTCCACTTAAATCATTTCCCTTGTAATATCACAAAATCATTTTTCCTTTAAGATATACTTTCAAGATATAAAATTTAAAATGTCAAAGCACAAACATGTAATTTTGTTCTTTTATTTGAGGCTTTTTATGAATTTAACAGACGTGTCCCTGCAGTGATGTGGAGCGTCCACTAGATGGCAGGGCTACACCATGGCGAGGGGACGGCTATAAAGCAGCAGCAGGTTTTCAACCGTTTTCTCCCCCCCCCCCATTTTCATCTCATGAAGCACATGAACTAATTGCCAAAATTCTGCAGTGCACCAAAAAATATATTTTTGCCAGTCTTACAAAAACATAAGTGTAACTTTGATTGATCCACACTGGACGGCTATCATTGTGTTGGCTGTTGCTATTGTTTTATTTGGCAGTCTGAGGGAAAAGAGGCCAGTGCCCCGACTGAATGGTCGGGTATTGCACGTTTTAAACATTCTTGTGGTGCACGGGTTGAAAATCGCTTTTATAAAGTATAAAGGTTGGGACAGAACCTTGGTTAAAATATCGTGCATTTTCACCAGATTTACAGCTGAAATGAACACTGAAATGCTTGAATTTTCACACAAAACCTCCAGAAAATTACTTTATGACTTTACTGTTTTCCTTTGGATTTGAAACCAATATTTCACCTTTAATTAATTTACAGTCTAATAGTTAATGTAAAATGCATAAAAATATATTCTTTAACTCCTAACAATTTAAGGAAGAAATGCTAGGGTTCCTTAGGTAATTTAGCTATATGTGAAACATGACTTATATGTTTAGGAAATTGTAACTTTTTGTGTGGAAAGTTACACACATTTTCTGTATTCCTTTTCCAAAATAATTCAAGTGAATATATGTACTTGAGACTATACCCATAGTTCAGTTATCTTAAAAAAATATTTTTAAGGCTAATTTGAACCAAGGGACTATTCTTCATGCTTCACATGTGTTATCACCTTCAGGCCTCACAAAACTAGGAACCAGGGGATACTGTTGTTGGTCACAGTTTGCAAGATAGGAAAATAAGGAGCTAAGAAGATAAGCACTTCCCCAAAAAACAGATAGTGTCAGAGAGAGGATTTAGATTTGGACCCTGGCTGTCTGACATTTTATTTATTTTTTAAATATGTCTTTATTGATTTCAGAGAGAGGGAGGGAGAGGGAGAGAGAGAAACATCAATGATGAGAGAGTCATTGATCGGCTGCCTCCTGCACTCCCCCAACTGCAGATCGAGCCCGCAACCCGGGCATGTGCCCTAACCGGGAATCGAACCCCGATTGCCTGGATCCTAGGTCGGTGCTCAACCGCTGAGCCATGCCAGCCAGGCCTAGCTGTGTAACTTTAAACCATACATGCTTTGGAGGGATGTAATAGATGTAAATTAATTTTTTATTTTTCCTACATTATTTATGTGTAATGTAGTGAACACATTTGAGACAAACTGTGCTTGATCTAAGTGTAGACTGAGACCCTCCATACAGGATACAAACAAGAAATAAAATTCAGTACTTCTTCTGGACTTAAAATTTGGTGGTATTTGTTGATATACTGATGAACGGCACCAGTGTCTTTACTGAGAGATAGCTCATTCAAAAGTGAACTTTATCAGAAAAGAAGGTATTCATGCTTAGAAAGAACTGGAGAACTTCCTATAGTTCATGGAGATTTAATTTTACCAGTAGGATATGGCTCTATTTATTAAGATGCTAAGGGTTCCTGAATGATCAAAAATTTGCACTAATTGATTAGATAGACCACGATTCTAGTGTTTTTGTATACTTTGTGGATATTTCAGTCTGAAAGGGAAATGGTAGGATGTATGAATTCTTTGAACATCAGATTTTGCTTAACTTTATTACAAGAAATCAAAATATATCTGAAATAATTTTACGAGCATTCACATTTACTATGTTTATGCAAACTGCTTTAAATAAAAATTTTTCTTAATTTTTCCATAATGAGTAATTTTCTTGATGCTTTTCTTAGGAAGGTCCCAGTATTTTAAAAAAACATTTCTAGAAATAGGCGCTTTCTTTCTAGGAACTTTCCTTCCAGACTGTGGTATATCAATGAATAAATGTAAGGGTTTGCTATGGTTTCTCCAACAACTTTACATAGCGAAGTCTACCTCAAAATAGTTACAAGATCATCCTACTCTAAAAAAAAATTATTAATGTGCGGATAGATTATGTGTGATGAGCAATACCGGGGATCTGCCATTTCAGAAAGGAAAGTGCCCGAGTGTGTAAGGATAACTAAGTATGTGATAGCAAATACCTCTGAATCTTAGTGACTTAAAAGTATGGATTTATTTCCCACTCGGGCTCCATGAGCGTTGTGCAAGGTGCTTGGAGTTCTCTTCAGTATCTCATTCTGTGAAGCAGCTACCGTTGCAAATACTGCCTTTTGTCATGGCGAGAAGAGCTCTCTGGAGGCCCTCATCCCAGTGATAAGTGCTCTGACCCACGAGAGACTCACTTCACCTGCTCTCGCAGCTCATTGACGGGTCCAGTCACGTGGCCCAAACTAACCTCAGAAGGCACCAAAAAGGACAGTCCCTGGAGTCCGGACGGTGTAGACCCAGATATGCCTGGTCAGCACTGATGACTGTCCTATTCTCAGATTATTTATTGTATCTCAGTTCTTTTAATTAACTGAGATTTCCTGCTTGCCTCCTCCCTCCCTTTTGCCCACAGTCATATAATAGATCCTGACTTTCTGCCTCACACTGCACTGGGCACTGCGGTTGAAAAAGTTGAAGACATCTTTGACACGGAAGGATTCATTCATAACCACACGTTCTATCTTTTGGCTTGTGCTCTCTTCCTGACTTAAAGGCCTCGAGATGTGTATCTAAAAAACGACTTGATTCAGTTTCTGGGACTCTTACTATATTTGGAAGCATTTATTTTTTATTACATTAAAAAGCTGCTTTGGAAAGTTGTGCTATCTTTAGATGACTCAGCAAATGCATCCACCAGGTGCACCCTGAGCTGTTGGTGCTGAGCGACGCTGAGCCTTCCTTTATGGCCGGCTTTACTCTGACGCGGCGCGATTTCCTTCGTCCGCGGTCTGGCATCCGTCTGCCTTTGTGTAGAAACTGTGACTCACACAGTGAAAACAGAAGCTGTAGGGCTTCTGCAGTGGAACAGACCAGATTTATATTTAAGCAAAAAGTTGTCACTCGCAGATCATTAGCATCTCGTGTCATATTTTAATTATTTGGTATGTCAAATCCAGAATTTAGATATTGCTAATGATAGTTAAATAATCCAAGACTAATTAAGCCCTGTGTTAAGTAGTGACTTGGC